GTATTATATTTGTTTAGTTAAATTGTAAGTTAGATTTGGAAAGATTTGTTTTAAGTCCTGTATTTGATTCCGGGAAGCTCAGGGGGGGAAGGGGGTTAGAAGTATTGAAACAAAAAGTGATGTATTCATATGTTATAATTGTATTGATAAGAGGAAGCGCTCGGTTGGTATCCCGGCTTGCACTCGTTGAGGTGGTCAGAAAGAGGGGGGATGTAGAAGGGGAAGGAGGAGAGGTTGTGGGTTAGAGGTAGGAAGGAAAGGTAAGTGGATGAGGGCGGAGGCAGGTTGGGAACCTCTGAGCGTTTCTGATAATGTATTGAATTGGATTGTTTTTTTTGTGTATGTTTGTGTTATAAATGCATCATATTACTTATTGTTCAATTATAAAAATTAATAAAATTTTCTTTAAAAAAAAAAAAAGTTGATTCAGCCCTCCATCCTTCCGAGGTTGGTAAACTGAGGACCCAGATTGTTGGGGGGCAATATGCTGACTCTGTAAGCCACTTAGAGAGGGCTATAAAGCACTGTGAAGCTATTGCTATTCCAGAAATACTTATAAGTTGTTGACAGAAATATATTGGAATTACCTGTTGCTCTTCAACTATTTCTGATGGAAATACCCAGTGATAGTGGTGGTTACTCAAAAGCTTCTGTGTGAATTCCAACCCGTACTGGCTAGTAAGCTTTCGCACAAGGTAAATGTTTGGCCAGTTATTCTGAATATAGTGGAAGAACTGCCTCACTTTTTCCAAGTAGATTTGCTTTTCTTTATCTTCACTATTGTCTGCAGAAAGAAGAAAAGTTGGGATTTAATTCCCAACCATACCACAGCAGTTCTAAAAAGATGGAGAACGTATCCTGCAAAGAGAATTTGTCTTGCGAAGTTTTGTATTTACAAAAAAAGATTATTATTTTTTTCAATTTTTTCTCCACTGAATAAGAACTTGCTTATGGGAGTTCTCTGGAAAGTTAGCATTTCCATGTGGCTACCACAATCCACTTGCCTGAAGTTTCGTGAAGTTCAAAGATCACCTCTGCAGCTCTATCCATGCATAGACGGAGGTTGGCAATTCCCTGCAAATACTCAATGGTAATTTTTTGGGAGACTGGATGGCAGCGGTTCCACTGATGAATATAATTTTCCAGAAAATACCCATCCTTTGCCAAGCAATGTATTTTGGTTTCTTTGGGGAAATTTTCTATTTTCTCACACAATGAATCCTGAAAATAAAAGAATATTTTCCAATTATTTTCCACATTATTTTATACCAGTTAAAGCTTCCAAATTAAGCAATTTTTAACTCTTCTGTATGAAAAAAAATATATAAAAGAAAATGCTGGATCGAGAATTTAGACAGTTTACTGAGCTCCTCAGGGATGGCATATTCAAAGAACCTATCTGGAATATTTTCAACAAAATAATTAGGTCTACTCTTTGGGAGCAAGCAATAGAACAGTGGATATAACGACCACCCCTAAGTTTAACTGTCCTCATAGTAAGGCAGATGAAGGGGAAAATAGTATTCCAGCTTAAGGATGAGCACTGTCCCTTGGCTTGGTGGGTGCCTTAAGGGAATGGGTAGGTGCCTTAGGGGAATGGGTAGGTTTTAGATCTAGTAGATGTCATGGTTCCGACTAATGAAACACTTCAAAGAACTTCCAGGCCTTGTTTATCCTAAAAGCCTTTATTAACAGTGTAACAGATTGACGGCACATCATGGACGTATGCCAGAATCTGAATTTCTCTTGCTTGCGTCTAACTTTTCTTGCTAAACCCCTCCCTTATTTTGCAGTCATAAGGCACATCTTCCAATTAACTCGGAGGGCAAAGATTCACTTCCGTTCCTTTTCCCAGCTTTCCTTATAAATCTCCTCCCTTTCTCTGTCATCTGAATTAACTCTAAAAATACCAGACAGTTCTGCACACATACATACAGTGCATACATACATCATTTGGTTTGTTAAAATCAGGAACATGGTGACAATCTCCAGTTAGTAAAATTAATAAACTATGTTCATTTGCAATGATCTGCAACATGATTTAAGCTGATTTTAATAAAAGTTGGCACAATGTGGTCTATGAAAAGCTGCTTTAACAATCCTAGATTCAGCAATTGATAACTTAGTGAATGTAAAACTAAATTGGAAAATGAGAAGGACTGACTAAAGACACTGATTCACTTTACTTTTTAAATTTTCAGTCATTTCCTCTAGATTTGTAAAAGTCAATTAAGAACCAAAGTTGACTACAATATAGCAGATTCTAATACAATAGCATAACAGCAGCATCTTAATTATGTCTTTGAGTTTGACCTAAACACAATGTACAATTTTTTGAGAAACTCAAAGTGTACAGGAGCCAAAAAAACATAGCAGAAATAAGATAACTACAGATTCTTTAGGAACAAATATCTTTTTCCTTTCCTTCTCTTTTTTCTTTAAGGAGAGCAGCACACACTTTTTTCATGCAAATATAATACTCTTCCTCATCAACCTACTGTCCCACTGGCCACATTTCCCTCTAAAAGAAATCTGAAAAAGACAGTTACCTCAAAGCAACTGATGAATAGCATGTACAGCTCTATTTTATCTTCCTTGTCCATGATGTGATTTGCTTCAACTCGTGATAAATGCTCTTGTACGTAGAGTTTCACATCACTGAAGCTATGAAAAGAGCAACCTCCATTTATCCACAAATAATGTAGGGATTTTTTTATTATTATTTTTAACAATTTTCAGGAAATAAAAAAGATATCCCCAGGGTCCTAAGGATGCATTTCTGCAGTTGGAGCAGGGAGAAGAATCAATTAAGTTTTTAAAAATGATGTCTGAACCGTAAGGAGGCCTATAACGAAAATAGTTCATGCAACAGAGATGCTGAAGTAGAATGTTCTGCCCCGATTTATGCATCCCAATTGAAAATCTTACCTGTATTTCAGAAGCAATTTTAACACCACAGAACGGATTACAGGAGTTTTATCCACCACATCATCAAAGGGGGACAAAGATTTGGTATGTAAGTTTTCAGGGCCTAAGGATATAACGCAAATCAGTCTGGAGAAACAGTACAATCCTTCCCTTTAGGTTAGAACAATCTCAATAGATGTTATGATCATACCTTTCAAAACTGACTTGTGCACAAACATCAGATTCAATAGCTCTTCAATCACAGATTTCTCTGGGGGATTGTTGCCTTTGAAACACATTGTGGAAACCAGGTCTATGAAAAAATTGTCGCATAATTTACGGAACTGAGTGTTTTTCTTTATGGCAATGCTGTGGAGAAAATGGTAAGTTATTATTTATCTAGTAAACTACCAAGAAATGCAGAGCCAATGCAGCAACTGAATGTCCTCAGAAAAATTTATCTGCTGGCTAAGAAGGACAAGTTTCACCTGTGCTCCTCAGATACTGTGGGATTGTAATCATCTGGTAGACTGACCCAGCAAAGTGGACAGATCATCTGTCCCGGCCCCAGCCACTGTTTGATACAATCATAACAAAATACGTGATCACAAGGAAGGTTTACTGGATCTCTAGAATCGCCCAAACATATTGGGCATGACCTTAAACCAAACCTGTGAAATCAAGAGAGAAACATGTAAGTAGCAATATATACTTAATTACAGAGTTCACAATGAAGTAGTAGCATAGGTAAGCCCCGTTCTACCCTTCACATTTGTTTTTATTTATTTAGAGTATATGTATGTTGCCCATTCCTAACATGGTCCAGGGCTGCCTCCAGAAATATAATAAGAGCAGCAAAATTACAATTAAAATCCCTTGGCAAATAACTTTGCTTTAAACCCTAGCTTCAAAAGGAGGGGTTTGCTTTAACCTCAGTGTCAGTACCTTCCCCCATACAACTTCTCTCATAGGAAAAGAAGAGTTAACCACAGCTATCTAATGAATATATGCAAAGATTCACCAAGAGTGTTTCAGTGGTGACCTAAAAGTGTGAGGCGTATTCTGCCAGAGTAAGCAATCCTCAACTAAACTTGTCATAAACCAAGTTCATTGTGATCAGCTTGTATTGGTACCACAAAGCCACCAACAACTAGAAAAAAATATTTCAACTGGGAGGTTATGCCAGACCTTTGGGAGGTTGTGCTACATTGTGGTTTGGTTCCAATTTCTGGACCATCTTTAAGGAAAGCCACAGACAAAACACACTGTAATAATTTGATTTTGAAGTTACCAGCATATGAGTCACCATAAATTGATCTTTTCCCTCCATGTAATGATGCAACTGATTCATAGGCAAGCTTAATCAGCCATGAAACATAAGTGATAAGGAGGACTCTTTTTGAGTCCTCCTTATCACTTATGTTTCATGGCTGGTTAAGAATAGGAACTACAAACTACAAACCTAGTTTTAAGAAGCACGTGATCACATTCAGAAGAGATGTTTCTCCTGAATCCTGAAATCTAGCCCTGAGAATCAGCAGGCATAGTTTTTGCTCAGTATACCGAAGATTAAAGCAATCTGAAGTTCTGTCTCTTTTGTTAGTGATTCCCTATAATCTTTATTGATACCAATTGACTTAGATTTACTTTCTAGGCAAGAATTTTATTTCAAAATATACCTTCTTTTCTCTACTATTCACCTATGAACAACTTGTAAATGCTGCCACTGTATGCCAGTCCACTGTATTATAGCCTGGTTGTTTAAATTAGTTTGGGGAAAAAAATCAGTTTAATTTTATTCAGATTTCTGTATTATGTGACAGTGAGATAATAAACATCCAGGAAAAGGACTAACATGGTGATGAATGTTGAAATAGGTTTGATGTTGGTGCATATTCTGAACCTATGTCTGTGACCTTGTGTAAGCATTGCTTCCATTGCTTTTTTCCCCACTCTCATGGGGAAGGAAGAGATAAGAGTAGAAGAGGAAAACACAAATCTATAAAGGCAGAAAGGGGTCATTCATTCATTCATAAGGGCTCCTACCTCTGCTGCCTCAATCTACAAAGAGAGTTTTGGGAGCCAGGTTGAGTTACTATAGGTCTTGACCTTTTTGTTAAATGCCAAGTTGAGGTTCAACGGAAATGAAAACATTTGTGATATTTTTGAAGCCTTCCTTACAATACGGATCATTCCATTCCTAAAGCATTACCTGCAAAATGATTGACTGGCATCTTCCTTGCACTGACATAGCATTCTCATCACTGCAATGAATGTTCTCATAGTTTTGATGTCAGAATCCCATTGAAAACACTGGGAGAGGAAAGTAGGGAGAGAAATGCCATCATTACAATTTCCAAAAGTGAAAGTATAGGACCAACATGTTTTCTCACTTACCATTTAAGAAATATTTAAAAAGCTTAAATATCAAACCTTTTAAAAACACTGTTTTAATTTTAAATTAGTAAGGAGAAAAAAACACGAGGATGGAAGATCAAAAAGAACTGATGACAAAAACTGGTTTTCAAATTGAGAAGAAAGCAAAATACTTGTATATTAAAATGACTTATAAATTGTACATTATTTCAAAATAATTAGAATAGAACTGAATAGAATAATAACTTTATTGTCATTTTAAACGTACACTAATCAGCATACATTAAAATGAGATTTTGCTGCATACAGCTTTCAAAGGGTAATCACCTCCAATATACACTACATAAACATGACAAAAAAAAAAGCATATACCCACATACAAACACATATATGACCCAGAGAAACAACAGAGCGGAGCAACAGAAAGAGACCCCATGAAGTGGGTGTGTGGGGTCTCTAAACAATATTTCAAGCTTTAAGCACATAGCACTTTTAAGTAGTGTCCTGCATAATGGGAAACAAGCTTCTTATAATCTTCTCGGCTGTCCTTACCACTCTCTGTATGGACCTTCTGTCTGAGGCACTGCTACCACCGAACCAAACAGTGATGCAGTTTGTTAAAACGCTCTCAATTGTGCCTCTGTGAAAAGTGGCCAGGACAGAAGGAGAAATTATGTTAAGATGTGGAATGAAATTAAGAAAGACTTGTTAAAAATGAGAAAAGTTGCAATTATCATTGTCTGGAGAGGTTTTGAGGTAAAGATGAATGTACTTTATAATGATGCTTTTATTTCAAACAATATTTATTTTGAAAAATGATTTGCCTCTTAAGCAATGATAAAAAAGACGTATCTAGACTTACATGGCATAATAAAAAAACCAAGACTTACATGGCATAATAAAAAAAAACAAGAGCTGAATATAAAATTCTTCAAGATCCAAAGGAAAGAGGTGGATTAAGATTATTGATTTTAAATTGTATTTTGCAGCCTGCTGTTTGGTTTCGATGAAAAAGTGGGTGTTGTTGAAAAATAAGAGAATGTTAGAATTAGAGTAACATAATCAGAGGTTTGATTGGCATGGCTTTTTATGTTAAACTCTTACTTTAAGTTAAAGTAAATGTAGATTTTAAAAATCATTATGTGAAAATATGGAATAAATACAAGCCCAGGTTGTGCCTGAAAATATCTTTATTGGTCTCAGATGAAGGATTACAAACCCAAATTTTGGGCCAGGTATGTGGATGACACGTTTGTGGTCATCAAGCGCCATGATAAAGCTCTCTTTATGGAAAAGCTAAATGCCATCTACCCGGACATCCAATTCACGACTGAGGAAGAGGTGAATAACACCTTGCCCTCCTTGGACATACTAATACGTCATGAGTATAATGGCACGCTGGTTACCAGCGTTTATCGTAAAGCCACCCACACTGACAGAATACTCTTTAGCGACAGCAATTATCCTACCGCCCACAAAATTGGATGTATTCACACCCTGTTTAACAGAGTAAACACACACTGCAGCACAGCAAGTGAAAAAGCTAAGGAATATGCATACCTGTATCAGGTGTGCATACAGAACAGCTATTCCATCGACTTCATTCGACATTATCACCAGCAATGGGTACCATGCGCTGCAGATGACAGGCTTCCAACCACCACTACTTGGACCACACTCCCCTATATCCATGGAGTGTTAGAGACGGCTGCAAGAATACTATCTGAGCATAACATCAGAGTGGTGCATAGACCTAATCAGACCCTTCGGACACGGATAATGCGCCCTAAAGAATCTTTGCCCGAGAGTGAGATGTCATCAGTGGTTTATCAAATCAATTGTAATAATTGTGCATGCAACTATGTAGGTGAGACCACGAAGCGCCTGCGAACGAAACTGCATGAACATGAATTGGCCATCAAATGCCATGAGCAGTCCCAGGTGTGGGCTCACACTGCAGAATATAACCACACGTTTAACTTCAGGGAGGCCAGGGTCATTGTTCATGATACAACAAAGGGTGGCCATCTGCTAAAGAGGCATGGCTATCCAACAAGCATTCCATCAACCGGCATATTGAACTGTTACCAGCTTATCAGCAAATATCCTTGAATCACTGGCAGATATCCTTGAATAAGAAAACTGCAAGGATGAAACAGCCACAGATCCCCACTGATACAAACAGGCCAATAGAGGATCGTAACCTTCCCTCAACGGACTTAATGTCATAGCAAATGATCAAGAGGAGGCAGACGGCGCCGATGAGCGACAGCAAAAGACTTGGAACCAACATGGACAGGGACAATGACAGCAAGAAAGAACAACCAGCTGAAATGACAGCATCGCATATGGAGACGTCAGAAAAGCAGGGAGATGACTGCGCGGCAGAACGCACACTCCGCACAGGCGGGGCGCGAGGAGAGGAGCGGAGCTCCGAAATTCAAACAGCTGTCAATGAGCGCGAAGGAAACAACAGAGCAATTAACCATGGGGGGGGAGCCGAATAGATCAGTAACACGCTCGATAGCCAAACTATCAGTGTTACAGAGACTATAAGAAAGTGATTCTCAATCCTGACTAGAACTCTGATGACATTAGCGGACAAGACGCAGCCAGAAAGGACAAGATTGACGGGCGAGTAAAGTAGAGCAGACAAGGAAGGGAGCAACAGGAGGAGAAAGGGCGGTAAGATCAAAACACGTACAAGTGGGTGCGAGATAGTCAGAGCAATTACGGTCGATTAGGGCGGACAGACCAATTACGCGCTCAATGAGCAGAGCGCAAAAAGAACTAGGTTTATAAGCAGACTCTCCAACTTCCAGCTTTCACTGATGACATCGGCAGGGGACCGACGAAAACGTAGGCAGCACACAGTTGTTTGTATAACGAATGGTTGTTTTTAACAATAAACAGCTGTTTTTATATCTATCCCGGAGTTCGAAGTTTTTATACTTTATACACACACACACACACACAAAAACAACGGGAGAGAATGTGAGTAAATAAGATGAAACTGATATTGTGTTAAAAATTAAGAGATTTTTTATAAAATGATGTATCATTAGTATATGACACCAGAGAAATCATCAAAGGAGCATGAAGGCACTTCAAATCAATATTGGGGATGTGAAAAACACAAAGAGATATTTTACTATGCCTACTGAACTTCTGAAAAAGCTAGAAAAGTTTGGATACAAATACATGCAACGATAGAAAGAATTTTAAAGTTTAATACCAAAAAAAACCAGATCTCTTTTTACTGGGATTTACTGGTAAGACAATTAGAAAAGACTCATGGATGATTTTGTATATGGAAACTGCAGCAAGATTACTATATCACCTATAATGGAGAAACACCAAAATACCCACAATAGATTGGAATAGATTGAGAAGATGCCAGAATTGTCAGAAACTGACCCATTTGGTTAAAACAATTATTTTTATAAAAGACTGGAAAACTTTTGTGGACTTTTTGCTGAAAATAGAAAAGAGCAAAGTGGTGATTTATGGGTAGGATGACTGAAAAAAGATTAAGAGAGGACCGAAGGGATATCAAAGAGGGAGGAGGAATAATGTTGGAAAGAAGGCCGGAAGTCACTTTTTTCTGATTATTTCTTTACATTTTCTTTCTATTTAGCTCTTTGTACTTTTTCTTTTCCCTTTTTTTTTACTTTACATTTGTCTTTTGCTTATGTAAATATTCTTTATAATAAAGTATTGTTTTGATTTTAAAAGTTAACAGAAAGCTAACACACACTGTAAAGCATCAGCTTCAATACTCATTTTTATTTCTAAGGATGTTTTTGTGATCCAAGGAGACTTCAAAGCTATTCTGAGAAAACAAGATATTGGATGGTAACAATCCAATTCTTGTTTGGATAAGCAGAGGTGGCAGAGAATATCTTGGGAATTTAAGCAGGTGTAGTGAGGAACAGCCTCATCATTTTGCCATCTAATAAATGGGTATTTTATGATGGGCCATGTTGCATCCATTTGGTTCCTGACTTAAGTTTCGTTTCTCCTGAAAAGCTTACCTGCCTGCCTTAGGTTTCGTTTCCTGATTTAAGTTTCATTTCTCCTGTTAAGCTTACCTTGAATTAGTACCTCCTTGACTTAAGTTTCCTGTTCTTTGTGTATGGCAATGGAGAGCCATCCCCCTATTGTCCTTTTGTACACCCC